CAGAAAAGTCCCAAAAGTGACATTGTTCTTTTTGAATCTAGGAAAAGTAGAAAATATCATGAATTTCACTGTCCCTAAAAAGGAAGCATGCCATTTCACAAAATGAGAGAAACTTGTTCTGAAAATCTAATGAAAAATTAATGTAAGTAAATTGACTGAATTTAAATCATTAAAATATTAGGAATTTTAATAATAGGATACATTATTGATATGTAAGAGTATAAGAGAATGAAAGAGACCACATATTTGTGGAGAAATAAAGTATTATGGGGAACAGGGGCAAATGGCGGAGGAGTAAGACATGGAGATCACCTTCCTCCTCACAAATACATCAAGAAAACATCTACATGTGGAACAACTACAGAACACTGGCAGGGGACCTCAGACTTCCAAAAAGGCAAGAAAATCCCCACGTAACTGGGCAGGGCAAAAAAAAGAAGAAGAAAAAAAAGACAAAGGAATCAGGATGGGGCCTGCCCCTCTGGGAGGGAGCTGTGAAGGAGGACATGTTTCCACACACTAGGAAGCCCCCTCACTGGCAGGGATGGGGGAGCTTCAGAGCCGCAGAGGAGAGCGCAGCAACAGGGGTGCAGAGGGCAGAGCAGAGAGATTCCCACATGGAGGACTGGTGCCAACCAGCACTCACCAGCCAGAGACGCTTGTCTCCTCACCTGCTGGCGGGGATGGGGGTGGGGGTGAGAGCTGTGTGCTGACGCTTGGGCTTCAGAGGTCAGACCACAGGGAGAGGACTGGGATTGGCTGCGTGAGGACAGCCTGGGGGTGCTAGTGGGCCAAAGCTAGATAGGAGGGAGTCCGGGGAAAAAGCCTGGGCATCCCGGAGAGGCAGGAGACCTTTGTTGTGGGGTACTCAATAGATGGCCCACCATAGGAGCTTCCTTCCTGTGTGCTCACAGATGGCAGGGCAACACCTACGTGAGCGCAAGCCCTAGCCGCGGCTGTTATCTCAGACAACAGAGGCTGCCACCGTTGCCACCAAGCGTCCTGTGTGCAAGGCAGGTCACTGCCAACACTTTCCCAGCAGCCTGTGCAGCCTGCTACTGCCGAGGATCCTGCCATCCAGGGCCAGCTTCCCCGGGTGAACATACGGTGCGCCTGACTCTTGCAACTTCACGTCGGCCTCTGCTGTCGCAGGTACTCCCCGCACATCCTGTGACTGCCATATCCCTTCCTCCCCCAAGCCTCAGTGAGCAAGTGAGCCCTTATCCACCACTGCTTTCGCCCCCTCTTGCCTGGGAGGGGAACAGATGCCTGAGGGAGGCCCACACGCAGAGGCGGGGTGAAAACCAAAGCTGAACCACAGGAGCTGTGCAACCAAAGAAGAGAAACGGAATACTGCTGCATGACCAATGGATTAAATCCCAGCTATCGGCTTTGTAAACCCTACATCTATGGAATATCTGAATATACAATGAGAGTTCCCAGAGTTGAGGCTGTGGACTTTGGGGGTAAGTACACACAGGTGTAAGGCCAGATCAGAGTCTGAGCTGACCCCACAGTGGCCACAGCAGGTCCATAAACCTACCTAGAAGTATTGGAGGACTTCTTGTAGGTAGGGATTGGCTGTAACTCACTGATGGGGCAAAGACACTGACAGCTAAGGCCACAGGAAAATATTACTACTTCTTTTTTGTTGTTGTTCTGTTCCTTTTTTATTTTTCTTTTAATTGTAATTTTAATTTACTTGTTATTTTCTTTTCTTTTTATGTTTTATCTTTAATTTTTTTTAAAGTCTTTATTGGAGTATAATTACTTTACAATGTTGTGTTAGTTTCTGTTGTATAACAAAGTGAATCAGCTATACGTATACATATATCCCCATATCCCCTCCCTCTTGCGTCTCCCTCCCACCTTCCCTATCCCACTCCTCTAGGTGGTCAAAAAGCACTAAGCTGGTCTCCCTGTGCTATGCGGCTGCTTCCCACTAGCTATCTATTTTACATTTGGTAGTGTATACATGTCAATGCCACTCTCTCACTTTGTCCCAGCTTACCCTTCCCCCTCCCCACGTCAAGTCCATTCTCTACCCTACATCTTTATTCCTGTCCTGCCCATAGGTTCTTCAAGACCTTTTTTTTTTTTAGATTCCATACATATATGTTAGTGTATGGTATTTGTTTTTCTCTTTATGATTTATTTCACTCCGTATGACAGACTCTAGGTCCATCCACCTCACTACAAATAACACAATTCTGTTTCTTTTTATGGCTGAGTAGTATTCCATTGTATATTTGTGCCACATCTTCTTTATCCATTCATATGTCAGTGGACACTTATGTTGCTTCCATGTCCTGGCTATTGTAAATAGTGCTGCAGTGAACATTGTGGTAATGAGAATTCCAGATATCAGTAAAATTAAGGTAGTTGGTATGCATAGTTTTAATCTAAATGATGTGAGGTATAAATTCTGCATCTGGACAAAAATACATTACCTTCATAAACTAAATTACCAGTGGCATTATATGAAAAAAATGAATATACTTATATTGCTTAAACTTAATAACCCTGTTCTCATTTTTCTTTAGATGCTCAAGGTAATATCTGAGAAGCATGTACACAGATTACAAAACAAGTTATTTCCTATTTTCCAAAAGTTAACAACCTAAATAAACAAAGAAATCACTCTTCAAGTCCTTTTTATACTGTCAAACTAATTATTGAACATCTTCCTCTAAGATTGTATATAAATAGTTGTATATATAATTCTCCAGATAAAATATGTAACATTTATGCACTCTTTTATGTTTCTTGGATTCTGTTCTACTTATCCCAGGTTGAGGTATGGTAAATTTATTGCTTCCTTTAGGTATTTTCTAAATATTATTGATAAACTGGATCATTTAAGTGATGTTGGCTCTTCAATGTATTTTATATGGGTGCAGATAGAGTGTGAACTATATACCTGAGAAAATGTCTTTTTCTCATATGTGGATTACGTTGCCTGCACATTCTAATCTATAAAAGATTGTTATATATAGTAAAAAATTTTTGAAATTATAAAATGAATTACTAGAAAACTAAATGTTTAATTAGTCATAAAACATGTCAGTAGCTTTATAACATCTGTCTCAAATGAACAAAATACAGAATAGAATTTAAAATATGAACAACACACACAAAAGGACAGCTAAAGCTTATACTACACCATCTAGTTGAATTTTAGTTTGTTGGACGGCAAAGAAGATTCTGACACATGCTTGAAAGAAGCACTTTCATTTGTGAAATATTGGTTTACATAAAAGAGTCCGCAGTGTATTTATTTACCTTGCAGCAGTTAACATAGTTAGTACAGGAAAAGAAAAACCTAACCTATGTCAAGTGAGAATATTATAACTATAACTGGTGGCCTGTAATTATTTTTAAGTGATATGTACCTTGAGGGGTTTGGTATTTGAATTTCACAGAGGGAAAGAATATTAATCAGTGCTATTTCAAAAGTATACCTATTAAAAATGGATACATGAATTTGAAGTTAAACAAAATCAGAGTTAAGAAGGCAGAGCATACATATTCTCTGAGACATTAAAATTAAAACAAACCTTGAAATTCAGAAAAGAGAACTCAGTCAAATCATACACAAGTAATATGGAAAATTTTCTAATTGAGCTTATTTAAAGCAAATCTCTCAACCATGTTAATTTCTATACATTTCTAGATCTTTTAACCATTTATATTTCATATTCAATTGCATATCCTATTTGAATATTTATAATGTTTGGAGGGTCAATCACAGGTGACTGCACAATTATTCTTCTAATATCACTAGAGCTCTAAAATTTCAACATCAGAGAAATGCAAATCAAAACTACAATAAGGTATCACCTCATACCGGTCAGAATGGCCATCATCCAAAAATCTACAAACAGTAAACACTGGGGAGGGTGCAGAGAAAAGGGACCCCTCCTACACTGTTGGTGGGAATGTAAATTGGTACAGCCACTATGGAGGACAGTACGGAGGTTCTTTAAAAAACCAGAAATAGAACTACCTTAGCACCCAGCAATCCCACTCCTGGGCATATACCTGGAGAAAACCATAATTCAAAAAGATACATGAACTACAATGTTCATTGCAGCACTATTTACAATAGTCAGGATATGGAAGCAACCTAAATGTCCATCAACAGAGGAATGGATAAAGAAGATGTGGTACATATATACAATGGAATATTGCTCAGCCATAAAAAAGAACAAAATAATGTCATTTGTAGCAACATGGATGGACCTAGATATTGTCATACTGAATGAAGTAAGTCAGACACAGAAAGACAAATATCATATGATAGTGCCTCTTTGTGGAATCTAAAAAAAAAAGGATAAAAATAAACTTATTTACAAAATAGAAGTATGGTCACGTATGTAGAAAACAAACTTATGGTTACCAGGGGTTAAGGTGGGGAGGCAGATCAATTGGCAGATTGGGTTTGACATATACACACTACTATATATAAATAGATAACTAATAAGAACTTGCTGTATAGCACAAGGAACTCTACTCAATACTCTGTAACAGCCTATATGGGAAAAAATTCTAAAAAAAAAACAAAAGAGTGGATATATGTATATGTATCACTGATTCACTTTGCTGTACACCTGAAACTAACACAACATTGTAAATCAACTCTACTCCAATAATTTTTTTTTTAATAAAATAAAATTTCATATAAAAGTTTAAATACTGCAATCCATGGAGCTTCATATACACTTGATCTATTGGAAGATAGTACACACTTGACCTGAACCAGAAACACTTAAGCAATGACTATATATATATATATATATTCCAGAAAAGGAGAAAATGTTGCTATTAATGGTAACTTGGGAATTGGCAGAGAGATTTTAGTAATTTAAAATCAGTCTTTTAAAATATTGCTAATATATTCTAAAAGTAGCACAATTAAGTCAGATAGACTATGAAGTTATAAAGGGGGTTATATATAGATATGCTGTCTCTGTAAATAACATACATACACCCATACTTACTTGAGTGTCTCAATTTGTCTGCGAAATATGTCTATTCTTGCCAAAAACTCATCAAATAAAGTGGTATAACAGTTGAAATAAAAGACATTTATGTATTTACCAAGTAGGTCCTTATCTTCAATAATTGCCATCTTAACGTCTTTTCCAGTAACTATTGTGTATGTGAAAGGAACTTGAAGAACACTAATCTCACCAAAAGACTCCTTCTCCTTAAGTTGACCCATATACACAAGTTTTCATATTTTTTTCTGTAAAAGATATAGTAACTGATGTTTAATGAAACCACTTTCATATAATGGATAAATAAATTTGGTATATGGTATTTAAAATAAATTAGCAGTTTCATGCAAATCAGAGAACATTTATTTATATATGTATTTAAATTATATTAGAAAAATAATAGATTGGTGAGAACTTCAGCATATCTAAGACAGTTGAAGGCACTGTAGTTTAGTGATCTAGAAATTAAATGTGTTAATACACCAAGATGTTTTTGAAATCTTGAACTCATTCCATTTTTTAAGGTCCTAGGATACTGTTTTGTAAGCATAATTTAGAATGCTTTGTGAACCACCATTTGTTACCTCAATTCCAGCTGCAAGGCACAGTTGTTGAACCAGCAAAGAATAATGAAAATAAGCAGAGAGTGCCAGGAATTGAACTGATGAGATGATTAACTGCAAAAGATGAGATTCTACCCTAACTTATTCGTATAAATTAAAAAAAGAAAATGGAAAGTGAGTTTGACTCAGGTAACTAGCAGTTTAAGTCCAAATAAGGAATTTTGTGGAAAAGATCTGACAGTAGTTTCAATATGCATAGTTCTGGAGAAAAAAACTGAAACTCCAAATTATCTTTTCAGGGAGAGCCCAACAGTATTAAAACAAGGATGAGCTGCTGAGCAGTAAGATAAAAAAAAAAAAAAATAGATTGTAGCCCTCAGGGTAGGACAGTGACAGAACTCAGAAGAGGTGAAAGCCTTTACTAAGTACCCTGGGGTCAAAAGCCAATAACTAACTAGTTGATATGCCACTTATATAAATGGAAAATCTTCACACTGCATATGACTAGTACAGCAAAATTCAATGAAGTTTGCATATTAAATTGAATTACGTTGAAGACTGCCTAACCAGCCAAAATGGATTAGTTCTAACTTTTCTGTCACTATGTATTAGTGCTTTGCCTATTCTAGAACTTCATAAAACTGGAATCATACAGAATGCACTGTTCTGAGTTTGACCTTTTTTCCCAACTTAATGCTTTGAGATTCATCCATATTCTTATATGTATCATAAATTCTTTTTATTGAGGCATGACATTCCAATGAATGAATATACCACAATTTTTCTATCCATTCAGCTGTCAATGGATATTTGGATTACCTACAGTTTCTGGCTTATGAAGGTTCATGTAAGTCTTTTTGTAAGCATATATTTTATTTCTCTTGAGTAAATATCTAAAGTGGAATTTTGGGGTCATATATTAAGTGCATTTTAACCAATCTGATATGCTTATAAAAGTACTTAGTTGTAGTTTTAATTTGCATTTCTCTGATAAATAATGATGTCAAGCATCTTTTAATGTGCTTCTAGGTTGTTCCTAAGTCTTACAATTCAATATATATTACAACTTATTTTACATTCCTGCATCTTACAACTCAGTGAAAAGAAGAAAATAAATGCAACAAAAATTAGTCAAAAATTGAACAGCTATTTCACAAAAGAAGACAAGTAATAAATGACCAATAAACACAAGAAAACATGTTCAATATCTCCTATTCATTAAGATAGGCTAATTGATTAAAAAGAATACATAAGTTTAAAACTTACCACTTTTCTTAATTGTGGTTTTGAAAGTCCTACAATACTTCTGCAAATCTTACAATATCCAGAATTAATATAAGCCACAAAAGAGATTATATTTCCACTTTCCACTATCACTGAAAACAAAAGAGACAATTCATTATTTCACACATTTTTATAAGAAATTATTTTAGATATTTTGACAATAAAAGTTGACATTTAATTCAACAACTATTGAGTAAATTTCTTAATGAATGACAGTTTATAGCCAGTCCTCTGTATATGATAAAAATTTACATCTGATATTTATATCAGCAACTAATATAGAAGTGAATATTGACAAGAATTTGGCAGTAAAATCAATGGTGTGCTAGTAAACTGTATGGTGGAGGAGAGAAAGATGAGTGTGGGACAAGCCCCAAGCCATAGCATTTGCTGATTTTCATGGTGTAGATATTTTAACCATGGCTAGTTTGAAACTGCCAATGGTTTAACAACTGGCTCAAAAAATCTCTGAATATTTAACATTTGGATCTTCAGAGCTCAAAGTGTATAATAAAAAAATAAATAGAAGGTTATTTAATTGTCACCAGTCATTTATTTTGCTTAAATAAAAATTTATGGTAACTCTTCTACTGTCTTATATTTTGTTTCTTACAGCCAAACAATAATATTATAAAGTTATCGTCAAATATCAAAGGATAATATAGCTGTAGAATTATGTGTAAATTGTATAGACATGGGAATTTTTTCATAGATCCTACTCTTAAAAGTAAAGAGTAGTGTTTTGCCAAGATGTTATATGATTGTAGAGACTGTTTTACTTCTTTTAGTCAATCAGCAGGACATAAAGGAAAATATAGAGTCTCCTGGCAATTGTTACAGGTAAGAGAAGCATGCACTTAGATAGTAAAGAAACCCATTATTTTTAACTGTTAGAGCTGCACTACTGTAAATTTTTTCTTGAAAGTCAAGCCTTACATAGATCACAGAGAAGCATACATAATATCAAAGTGAATAAAGATCATGGGAATTTGTATTAAAGGCAAGTTAACGATGGAAAAGCTGAATCACTGCAGCAAAATCTATGAGGCAGTCTCACTCCTTATAGGGGACATTTATTGCCTCAGTAATTGTCTATGGTCTCTGTACTAATCATAGAAAATGTTTATCTTAATGAAGACAACACAGCAAAACCGTTTTCATCTAGGTAAGCAGGCTGAATTTAATGACATTAAAAAAAATGTCTCATCACACTTAAGAAATGTTAAATATTACTTTTTGACTAGAAAAACAAACATACCAATGCCTGTGAAAACTCAACACCTTTCTCTTTTTTTCTTAATTTTATTTATTTAGCCTCTAAACCTTTTTCCCATTACAAAGAACTTATGCCAGTGATGTCAAGATAAATGTTGTCATCTCCATACCCTTTCCTCTTGGGTTACATAGAAAGCTATGAACAGCATAGAAAGATCCAAAGGATTATAACACAATTTTAAATGAAAATATTTAGTCATGGACTATATAAATGACATTTTATTCATTATTATTTACAGGTAATATTCAGGAAATAAAGTTGATTTATATTTAAAAACAGAGTTTCAGTTTAGGAAGGTGAAAAATTTGGGAGATGGATGATGGTGAGAGTTGCACAACAATGTGAATGTACTTAGTGTCACTGAACTGTACAATTAAATATGGTTAAAATGGTATGTTTTATATTATGTGACTTTTACCAAAATAAAACAAAAATTAAATAAGGTTTTAAAGAGCCTCATCAAAACTCAAACTCATATCCTAAAACCTGAAAGCATTAGACCTTTATGAAAAGAACAAACTTGACTTTATCTTGAAAGTAAATTAGAAAGAGAAGAAAACCAGAAGGATTCATAGAAAGTGAATATCATGTATTGTTCTTTTCCTTCCTGTTGTTTTTCATGTGCCAGGAAATAGTCACAAGTCTAATAAAACTATTTTATTCCAATTTTCAGATCAGTTAGAAGAAGTCATGATAAGAAGGATAATTCCCAACTGGCTATTAGCATCAACACTGGGACAGTTAAGGTCTCAGTTTAAATGGAAACTAGTGATTAGAAAGATTGTTAAAGGACATCTTCTTAATTAAGATAAACTCAAGTCCATTAGCCTAACAGACCAAAACACAGTTTTGGAGCAGAAGTGTGTCTGAGTATCAGCAAGACTGATGCAGCTTCAAGCAGAACATGCATTAGCTTAATGGATACTATTTCTCCTTGTAAAACTAGAGTACTAGAAAAAGAACAATATAAAAAAAATAGTGCTAATGAATGCTATTTTTGAACTTTAATGTCAATTTGGGGAAACATTTTTGAACATGTTTTCCTTATGAATATATTTTTTGCTTTCCTAAAGTGTTAAGAAAGATCTTGGTTAAAAAGGACCTTGCATTTACTGAGTATTTCTATAAGGGTCCATACTCATGAAACTTTAACCAATATTAAACACTACTTATTTTAAAATGTATATTTATATGAAGATAAATAGCATTTATGGATAAATGGAAGCAAATCCTGAATAGAAATGCATATCAGAAAAATTGAACACTGATTAATTATCTAATTTCCATTTATACTACACCTTCTGAATTCATTGCACGTTAAGATAAGTCATTCTTCTAAAGTATGAGTACTATATGTAAAATACTGTCATGCATATTAAATACCTGCCACTTTGCATAAGAAATTAAAAATAAGTTAGCATTTCTCTAATCACACAAACAGATTTGGAAAAAAGTTGTACTAATTATTGATAGAGGAAATCCAGAGAAATATGGGTGAAAGAAATTTAAATTTTGAACACACCTCAGAAACTATTCCAAGAAAAGAATTTACTAATATAATACATTTATAGAATTTCACAGAAAGTAACAGAGTATGACTTGTTACTTATTGAAAATTAGGGCAGATGAAGAAAGTTCAGACTTGGTGTTAAATTCCCTCCACCCCTCTCTCCTTCCCCTTCTTCCCCCATTATCCCCTTTCCTCCATCCCACGCTCCAAGATAGGACAAATACTGGGGCTTACAGCCTTTTACAAGTCAGAGCAGAAGGGATTATGGAGATTTGGTGCCCAGCCTGATAGCCAAGAAAGCCATACCCTCACCTCAACTCTCTCACCATATTCAAATCTTCATTCAAATCTCACCCTCTCATGACTCTGCTAGTTTATCCTACAGTTTAACCTGCTATTACCAGCTCCCTTACCCCACTCTGCTTGTTTTCCTCATGGTTTATTTATCATCTAACATACTATCTAATTTACTGATTTATTTCTTGTGCTTACTGTATATTACATCCTCTAGCCACTAGGATGCAAGCTCCATCAAGACAAGGATTTTTATTTTTATCTTTCTTTCACTCATGTATTTGCAAAGTAGCTACTGAATAAATATTTGATGAAAAAATGCAAGGTCTCAATATTAAATTGCAACTTCCTCAAAAGGTTAACTGAGCACGAGAGGAAGCTCAGAATATGGTAGCTTAGGTTTTTATGGAACCAAGTTGCACAACTAAAAATTCTGGATGAAATAGTTTTAAATATATGAGGTGGTAAAAGGAAAAAAAAAAAACCCTCAAAAGCCAGAAATAAAAAGAAAGTGCAGTCACAGAGGTAAGAAAGCCCTAGAGACAGTGGCAAAGTCTGTCTGAGAGATCAGATGTGGACATCCTCCTTCATAAATCCTTCAAGAACAATATTCTTGGGAGGTGAACTTGAAAAAGCCCACCTTACAAAGAGAGCTCCTGAAGATATTTTCCTCTTACTTGTGGTGCTAAAAGGAATGGAAAAAGAGAAGAGAAAGTCTCTCTGAAAATTCCTAACCATAGCTCATGATATTGGGGCTAGAATCTACACCACGTGCAAGGCGTCACAGATTTAATTTTTAATTTTGTTGACCTGCAACTCTAAATGCCTAGGAAAAAATTCTTTCTGGATAAATTAATGTTTATCCAGGCTTCAAAGAAGTCTAACAGATATGAAGATACTGTTTTAGGGAAAATGAGCCCTTAATAAAATATGCATTACCAAATATATTAGCAAACCAGCACCATTAATTATAGTCACCACACTGTTATAAACATAACTATACATATACTCACATTGCTATAGTTTTTGTTTGTTTGTTTGTTTTTTGCGGTATGCAGGCCTCTCACTGTTGTGGCCTCTCACATTGTAGAGCACAGGCTCCGGACGCGCAGGCTCAGCGGCCATGGCTCACGGGCCCAGCCGCTCCGCGGCATGTGGGATCTTCCCGGACCGGGGCACGAACCCGTGTGCCCTGCCTCAGCAGGTGGACTCTCAACCACTGCGCCACCAGGGAAGCCCCTCAGGGGCTTCTTTTACAACAGCAGTGGGGAAAAATCAATCTTCTCCAAACTTTAGTGTTCTCCAAACATAACTGTTTCTTTTCGAATTATGGTTTTCTCCGGGTATATGCCTAGGAGTGGGATTGCTGGGTCATCTGGTAGTTCTATTTTTCGTTTCTTTTAAGAAGCTCCACACTGTTCTTCATAGTGACTGTAACAATTTACATTCCCACCAACAGTGCAAGAGGGTTCCCTTTTCTCCACACCCTCTCCAGCATTTATTGTTTCTAGATTTTTTGATGCTGGCCACTCTGACCGGTGTGAGATGATATCTCATTGTAGGGTTTTTTTTTCTTTTTTTTTTTTTTCTGCGGTAAGTGGGCCTCTCACTCTTGTGGCCTCTCCCACTGAGGAGCACAGGCTCCGGACGCGCAGGCTCAGCAGCCATGGCTCACGGGCCCAGCCGCTCCGTGGCATGTGGGATCTTCCTGAACCGGGGCACAAACCCGTGTCCCTTGAATCGGCAGGCGGACTCTCAACCACTGAGCCACCTGGGAAGCCCTACTATAGATATTTTAATATATTTATATACACATGATATATACACATTTATAGCAACATCAGAATTAGGAAATATAAAGTAAAATTATATTTATAGAAAAGTAAGAGACAGAATTATTCAATTTGATTACCAAAATTAACCAGTGCTTACAGAAAAAACTATAATCAATCCAAACAAAAATATTAAATTAATTAAATATTAAACTAAAAAACTAATGCTATATCTTAAAA